CCATTTGTGGGTATATATTATTGAATAAATTGGTTACATTAAAGCTAATGAGATTATCTTTTGGATGTATTACTAGGGTTTGTATTGCATTAATGGAATCGTTAGTGTTTAGCTAAAGAATAGCGAGACGAATCTCTGCAATATACCATTTACTGAATACAGTAACCTTACGTGCATTAATAGGAGGCTGAATATGTAAATAATCTTATTGTGTGCACAGTTAGTTATTTTACACGTTATGTTCCTAAACAGTTGAGAGCTTCTTAATTAGTTGGTTAACATTTTTTTCTTGTTGTTTAGTGGGTTGTTTTTAGCTGTGTATATATTCTATTACAGATAAGGTTTCACAGTCTGGGATCATATCTTATTTGCTCATCTTAACTGTAGCTATGTTCTTGTCTTTGGCGTTATTATTATCATAGCCGTGTTTGACTTTACAGGTTGTCTTATCTTTAGGTAATACCTTTATAGTTATATTTGACACTACAATCTGTTTTACCTTTAGGCGGTATTTTTATAGCCATATGTGACTTCATAGTCTATTGTGTCTTTAGGTTTTTATAGCCGTGTTTGACCACAGAGTCTGTTTTGTTAGTATGTAGTAGTATTTTATAGTATATTTTCATTAACAAAAGAAATGAATAACCGACTAACCAGACAAAGTCATTATAGGTAACCAATTAATATTTACAGTGTTCAATTACCAAGCATCTAATAATAACTACATATAAGACATCAATATTTATCTATAAAAATTATTAAGTGCGAAAAAAGAAATTCTGACCTGAAATAGGAAACATAACAGCTCATGTACACCAGTTATTTCCAAACTTTTTTCAGTTGATATACCTAATATTTGGCAGAGTTGCAGTCCTCTTTCAGACCTGATAACTTTAAACATCTGGTGTTAGCAAGTATAGTTAGTTGTTTAGATCGATGGTACAGTGAAAGGACTGAATTCCCTACGTTCAATTATTAAGATATGTAATAAACGCAAATGCAAAAATATCATATTACCTGTAAATATATCACTGTTAGATAAAAAAAAAACTTACTGAATAAGTATTCACCTTCTTTGGAAATAATAAGCCTTACATCAGACCGGATAATTTAACATCATAAGACACTAACACTAACGAACAAAGTTCAGTTTACAGCTCAGATACATCTCCCCACCCCCTCTTTTATCCTAACTTACGTTTGAACCAAAGACTTTTAGAGGGATGGATGATTGGGATGGAGGAAAAAAGTGATTACGAATCCAATTGCTAAGAAGGTAACTAATTGATAATTTGCAAAAGGCACATACTCTTGCTTTAGTATTGGGAAATCCATTTTCTACTTTTCACTCTTTTGTCTCGTCGAATCTTTTTCTTGGAATAATATGCATTGCTATGGTTGAACCTTTGAAATGAAACATTTACGTGCAAGTACATTTGTCAGACTGTATTTTTGGTCAACTAATATCACCATAATGTTTGTGTGTATGTGTGGCCTGAAAAATTAATTTCAGTTGTGTAAAGTTTTATTCCTTATTCATGTTCATCGGGAATTGCTGGTCAAAATACACATAATAATTTGTCCTTTAAGGTGAAAATATTTTGTAGTTTATTTAACCAATCAGCACACACCAATGTTAACAAAGAAAGTTCTAGTTTAAAAATTATTTTTGGGGATCACTAAAGGTGTATAATTGCTAAAAAAATAAGTTTACTAATGTTGAACTAGCTATCGAGTTACTCTTACTAAACGTAATGAGAACATTTGGTCATACTATCTGGCCTCACCCATAATAAATGTTTCATATTTCGTATGCACATAAAAAAACATACGCTCATTAATTTAGTGTTGCATATGGTGATGTAAGACAATAGCTTTTCCGCAGCGCATTGTAAAAAAACAGAACAAAGACATCTCTAATGAATTATACTTGTCATAAGACATTCGTATTAAGCCTATAATATTGTAACACTGTATTCTTTATCTAGTTCCTTAGTGATTTTCAAGAATTAAAAGTGTGTCATATTGACATGACGAACATAGTATGATTGGAATACCATTATCATACGCTCTTTTATATCTTGAAAATCCCAAAGGAATTAGATAAAGAATACAGTGTTAAAAATATAATAGGCCTAATATGAATATCTTATGACAAGTATAAATGATTATGATCATGCTTCGCCGGCTTGGAAAGGTGTTCACGTCAAAAATATATCTGATTTAATTACTTTTAATGAATGAAGGTAACGATTTTCTATGTGTTTTACTTTTGTGTATTAACAAATACTTCCTTTGGTTTATCTGGATGTAAGGAATTCAGGCAGTATTTTTAAAGCCATGTTTGATTTTAGGTTTCTGGGCAGTATCTTCATAACAGTTTTTGACTTTAGAGTCTGTTTTATTTTTTTAACACAACGTTAAAGAATAATAAATGGCCTTTTGCTTCATCCAGGCCTTTATATCCATTAAACTAAACACTAAAACACTCAGCCGTTATCATTCAGTTATTTATCAAGTTTTCCTTTAAAGTCTATTAAATTAATTGCGTCTACGACATCTGAAGACAACCCATCCCAAAGACCAACCACCCTATTAAAACAATAAAACTTTCTTAACTGAATATGACTAATACCCTGTCAAAATTTATATCTGTGTTCTTTAGTAGTATTTTTCTTATCACTAAATACGAAAAACTATTATGCATAAACCCTATCCATTTCATTAATAATCTTAAATACCTCAGTCAGAACCCCTCTAACTCTCTTTTTTTCAAGAGAAAACAAGTTTAGAGGCCTTAACCCGTCGTCGTGTGACAACCTTTCCATCCCAAATATCATCCTAGTAGTCAGCCTTCTTTTGAACCCTTTCCAACAATTCAAAGTCCTTTATAAGTTGAGGAGTCCAGGGCTGAACATAATATTCCAAAAGTGGTCTAATCAATGGCCTATATAATATAATTAGAACATCTTTAGATTTGTATTCAATACTATATAGCTACAACCTAAAATCCTATTTGCCCTACCACTAGCAACATCACATTGCTCTTATAGCTTAAGAGACTTAACAACTAGAACATCAAACCTTTTTCTTCATAACACTAAGATTATTCCCGTCACAATTATACCAATAATTCACACTATGCATTACCTTGCATTTATTATAGACAAATATCATCTGCCATTTATTTGCTCAATTCATTAAATAATTCAAATCCTTTTGTAAAGCAGTAGCATCCTTCTCATAGCTATCAACACTCAAAACTTTAATGTCATCAGCAAATTTAAATAATCTATTATTGGCAGTATTTTTATAGCCGTATTTGATTTTATAGTCTGCAGGTAGTATTTCTTATAGTCGTATTTGATTTTATAGTCTGCAGGTAGTATTTCTTATAGTCGTATTTTAGTTTATAGTCTGCAGGTAGTATTTTTTTTTACCGTGTTTGACTTTATAGCCTGTCTTGTCTGCAGGTAGTATTTCTTTATAACTATGTTTGACTTTATAGCCTGTCTTGTCTGCAGGTAGTATTTTTTTACCGTGTTTGACTTTATAGCCTGTCTTGTCTGCAGGTAGTATTTCTTTATAACTGTGTTTGACTTTATAGCCTGTCTTGTCTGCAGGTAGTATTTTTTATAACTGTGTTTGACTTTATAGCCTGTCTTGTCTGCAGGTAGTATTTTTTTATAACTGTGTTTGACTTTATAGCCTGTCTTGTCTGCAGGTAGTATTTCTTTATAACTATGTTTGACTTTATAGCCTGTCTTGTCTGCAGGTAGTATTTCTTTATAACTATGTTTGACTTTATAGCCTGTCTTGTCTGCAGATAGTATTTTTATAACCGTATTTGACCTTATAACATTTTTGTCTCTAGGCAGCATTTTTACAGCAGTGTTTGACTTTAGAGTGTTTTTTTTTTTGTGTAGGCAGTGTTTCTGTAGCAATATTTTATAGGTGTGTTTGGCTTTATTGTTTATCGGAATTTGAGACAGATGGTTTGGTTCTCTTTTTTAGAAACATTCCTATGGCTAATTTTATTTTTACACTGATTTGCTTGATATAAATAGGCAGTGTACAGTTTCTTTTTGTCATTTCTAGAGTCGGAACTTTATTGTAGCTAACAGCGTAATTCAATCTATTGTTAGTACAGATATTGTGCCATCGTTAATGTATGGTAGGTTACGTTAACAACAGATTAGGTTTAGACTGATTCTGAATTATATATTGTCTTATTTAGGTTGTGAAATAAATTTATAGCTTTTCCAATATCTTTGTTAAGTTTTTTACAGAAACCTCTAAAGCGTGGGTTTTTTAAGTTGGATCTTAACCTTTAGAAATACGCATTATACACCTAAAAAATGTAGCGGCTTGGCAGTCGAAACGTAACGTTAGACTTAGTTGAAAAGTTCAGTTAATTAGAAGATTGTAATAATAGTAATAAAAAAATAGAATAATTAACTTATAAGACAAGGTGATTATCGGTCGCTAATTAATATTTCCAGGGTTTAGTTACCAAACATCTAACAGTAACTGTTAATATGAGATCAAGATGTATTTATTTATAAAAAATATTAAAATGGGAAAACGTATCTTCTATCTAAAATATGAAGCATAACTGCGCATGTATACCAATTATTCCAAACCTTTTCAGTTGATAAATCTAATATTTATCATATTTGCAGTCTTCTTTCAGACTAGATAATCTGGTGTTAGTAAATATAGTAAGTTGTTTAAAAAGATGGACAGTGGAAAAGCTTAATTCACTAAATTAGTTTTTTAGAATATGTAATAAACGCAAATGTAGAATTATCATCTTATCTGTAACTATATAATTGTTTGATAAAAAAAAAAGTACTTAATAATCATTTATCTTTTCTCGAACTAAGAAGCCTAACATCAGATCGGATAACATAACTTAATAACACACTAAAACTAACGAACAAAATTTAGTTTCCAACTACGATCTAACTTACGATATATATTTTCTATCTGTCTCTAAGTCTTTTAGAAAGATGGATGGTTGGGATGGAGGGAGTAATTACAGATCCAGTTGCTAAGAAGTCAACTAATTGACAATTTGCAAAAAGCACGTATTCCTACTCATTTAGCACTTTTTGTGACCTCCATTTTCTACCTTGGACTTTTCTGTCTCGTCGAATCTTTTTCTCGGAGCAATGAGTGTCTGTCTACACGTTGCTAGTAATTGAACTTTCGAAGTGGAACATTTACGTATAAGTACGTTTGTCAGATTGTAATTTTGCGCAACAAATATCACCATACTGTTTGTGTATATGTGTGATCTGATAAACTATTTTCCGTTCTGTAAAGTTTTGTGTCTTTCTTAATCACACTGGGAATTGCCGACCGAAATACACATATTCATTTGTTTTTTAGGGTGAAAATATTTTGTAGTATATTTTCAGTCAGCACATACCAATGTTAACAAAGAAAGCTCTAGTTTAAAAATGATTTTTGGTAATCACTAGAGGCGTATAATTGGTTAAAATCATTTTACCAATGTAGAACTAACTATCAGTTTATTTCTAAATGTATTGAGAACCAACATGGCTTCACCCATGATAGTTATTTTATATTTAATATTCACATAAACACACGCTCATTAACTTAGTGCTGCATTTGATGACATCAGACAATGACTCTTTTAGTGGTGCATTATAACAGAAACAGAACAAAAACATCTCTAATTTATCTACCTTTAATAAATGATAACGATCCCCTGTGTGTTTTACTTTTGTGTATTGAAAAGGACTTTTATTGGTTTAGCCGGATGTAATGACTTTCATTGACTTAGCTGGATGTAAAATGTCAGTAGTATAAAAAATAGTATGTGTGCTCTGGATCAGTTTAAGCGTTAGTTGAAAAAACAAAATAACGATTTCAGAATCACCAAGAAACAGATAAGGCAATGTCAAATACACTCACACTGTTAAAAAACTCAGAAAAACTTCAAATTCCAAACAACGCAGTCTGTGAACTAGTAAGTGTTTAAAGTGTTTTGTATTCACATTGTTAACAAACTAAGTTCAGTCGTATGTAGGTCCACTGAAGGGGCCAGCAGTAAACATACGAACTTGCAACGCTAAAATCCGGGAATTGACTTCTCGCGGTGGCCATAGTACAGATGAGCGCGATGGTGAGTAGAAATTAAAGAATAAATAAAGCGAGATATTATCACCTGAATAAAAAAATTCTATTAGGCAACTTTTCGAACAAACCTGCTTTTTTTTAAGTCGTATGTTTGAAACGTTGCCCAATAAAAGGTTTTTACTTGGGTGATATTATTTCATGTATTAGACATACATATAACCCACTCATATTCTTACATAAAACTATGTTTAAATCTACATTTCTTCTCACAAAATTTTAAAAGTAAGCTTTTCTTGCCGTTCGTCGCCGTAATAATACGTTTAAGTATTCCTGACTTATAAAATATGTTCAAATACCTGTGTTTTACTAATTCTATATAGCTTTATTTAGTAACCCGGTGTTACATCACTAATCTTGCTAGAATTTGGGGTTACATCTTCGCGGAAGGCACAGCCAGATAGTCAAATGTGCAGTTTTGCGCCAAAATAACAACAAAAGCTTAATTTATTATTACTTCGACAAGTAACCCTCCTGGTAACCCTCCGTGTATAACATAAACCTATTTTAATTCACTGAAAGTCACTATGACAATAACCAACCTCCACTTCTTTCCGAAATAAGCAAACAATAATAAACACATTTTGATTGATTTGTATTAATCGAATAAATAGTAAGCAGTTACTAGTAAACAATATATTTTGTGTGTAGTGAAACAGGTAAGGCAGCACATGACATCATGCCCTTTGTGTGTAGTGAAACAGGTAAGGCAGCACATGACATCATGCCCTTACTCAGAAAGCCATGTGAATACAATATTTTGAAAATATCGTTGTTGCACACCTCCCCATACTCCTACCCTCTCGCCCCCCACTGACATAGTGGTATGTCTGCAGACTTACAACGCTAGCAACCGGGTTTTGATACCTGTAATGGGCAGAGCACAGATAACCCATTGTGTAGCTTTATGCTTATCTTTAAAGAAACAAACACATCCCCCCCCATACACACCCATGGCGTAATACAGATTATATTTTTGAAAAATATAGTTTTTTTTACATCGTTATGATTACAACTGTTTCTATTTTTTTTTATCTAAATTGGGTGTGTGTGCAAAAATGGTAAAATGTTTATGTGTCTTACAACGAATGCTCCATGCTATAACTTTGTTAGTACTATCATGACGAATTGGAGTAACTGATATAAATAGTACTAAGTTTTAAATACTGCACGGAGCTTAGTATCACTGTTAACTGTTTGGAATTTCGTGAGAGAAGGGAAAAGAACTATATGATACATCCAGACAGTTACACAGCTGATATATAATTGTGTGAAAACAAATAATGCATCATTATTTCAGCAAGAAATTGTCGATACATCCAAAAAAGTGGATACATCTCTACAAAGACTTGAAACATATATTCTGGGCTATAGTGTTTCACAAAAAGCGTACTAGTATAAAGTAAAACTTTGTATCTACTAAATACATAAATATCATCACTACTCTAAACTTCATGTATTACAGAAAGTCAGGAAATAAGCGAATAACCTGGATGTTAAAATTAAAGATAGTGAAACACGCGTTGTATGTGTATGCCAACAATTTGTTCTATGCAGTATTTCGTCCGAGTATTTATATTAGGTCGTCAAGAAATTAATGTCGCTTTTTTAGATAAAAAAACCGAACAATTTATATATCAAAACAAAACATTTACTAAATGAAATAATCTCCATTCTTATCGATGATACTTTTCCATCTTACAATCAGGTTGTTAACGTCCTGATTAAAGAAATCACTTGGCTTTGAAGCAAAAAACATGTCGATGTCCTCTTTAACACCTTCCACATTTACATTTTCTCATTTAAGATGGTGTTGCAGCGACGAAAAATATGGTAATCTGATGGTGCCAAAGAATATGGTGGTGGGGGAGAACTTCCCAACCCAACTCCATAATCTTGTGTTGCGTCAAACGTGCCACACGTGGACGTGCATTGTCGTGGAGAAGAACACCCTTCCGATTAACGAGTGGAAGATGTTTCTGATGAAGGACTTGATTTAAACGTTCCAGTTGCTGACTATAGATCTCTGCATTGACAGTTCGCTGTGGATTGAGGAGATTGAAATCGGGG